AGTAAACTATGGATACACATTACAGCATGGTTGAAGAGCCATGTAGTTTTGCTGAGTGAGTATGCACTGTATGATTCCCTCCTACAAAATTCTAGAAAATGCAGACTAATATATAGTGATAGAAAGGAGATTCATGGTTGCCTGGGGATAGGGATGTGGAGAGGGGTTGGGAGGGAGGGATTTTGAAAAAGAGCACAGCCCTGGCTGGTTTGGCTCAGCACTAGAGTGTCAGCCTGTGGACCAATGAGTTGCAGGTTCAAGTCTGGCCAAGGGCACGTACCTTAGTTGTGGTTGGCCCTGGCCCTGGTCGGGTCGTGCAGGAGGCAACCAGTCAATGCGGCTCTATCACATCAGTGTTTCTCTCTCCTTCCCTTCCTCTTCCTCTCTCCCTCTCTCTCTCTCTGTCTGAAGATAAATAGAAAAATATCCTCGGGTGAGGATTTAAAAAATATTTTTTTAAAGGGCACAGTCCTGCTGGTGTGGCTCAGTGGATTGAGGGTTGCCCCTTGGACTGAGAGGTCCTGGTTCCATTCCCGGTCAGGGTATATAGTTCAATCCCCAGTGGTGGGGTGTTCGGAAGGCGGCCAATTGATGTTTTTATCTCTCTCCCTCTCTCCATTCCTTTCTCTCTAAAAAATCAATAAAAATATATTTTGCAAAAAAAAATTTAAAAAGCACAAAGAAACTGGATGGTGATGGAGCTGTTTATTATCTTCCTTGTGGTGAAGGTTTTATGACTATATACATATGCCCCAGTGTATCAAATTTTACACTTTAAGAAGTGCATTTTTCAGACCACCCACATTAGATGATTTACTAGGACTTATAGCACTCAGCATGTAGTTAGTTGTACAGTAAGTCCTCACTTAACATAGTTGATAAGTTCTGTGGCTAAGCAAAATGATGTGTATATTACAAAACCATTTTTACCATAGGCTAGTTGATGTATTCAAGAGTTAAGTTTCTGCAAAATCTCATCAGAGTTATAACCAAACCAAGTTGAACAAAATGATGTTGAGAACTTGTGGCTAAGATTTATTACAATGACACAATAAAGATACAAGTGGGACCAGTAGGGGGAAAAGCCATCAGAAAGGCCTGGAGGCCTCCGTGTGCAGGTTTCCAGGGTTCGCTCCTTCCCAGGAGGGCTCACTCCCTCCCAGGAGGGCTCACTCCCTCCCAGGAGGGCTCACAGGGAGCAGCCTTCCCTCCAGCAACAACGTAACCACAGGTGTGCAGGGTTCATGCCCAGGGAAGCCCACTTAAGGGTCAGGGTTTTTATTGGAGTCTGGTCACCAATATTTCAGATTCCCAAAGGAAAGCAGGTGTTTAGTACCCAAGGCAGGCAAACAACCTTATCCGTGTAGGGATTATTTCAAAAACCAGGTTTTTAGATGCCAGGTAAGGGTCAGCCTTGGACGCAGGCCTTTCGAAAGATGACAGTGTCAGGACTGTTCGTTCTTTCCTGCGGTCAGTTATACTTCAGGAGAACCTTCATTTATTTTTGTTTTTCTTTATTTAAATCATTTTTAATTTTTTAAATTCAGTTGACATACAATATTATATTAGTTTCAGGTGTACACCCAGTGATTAGACATTATATAATTTACTAAGTGATCATCCCAGTAAATCTCCCATCTGACACCATACGTAGTTATTAAAATGTTATTGACTGTATTCCCTATGCTGTACTTTACATTCCCATGACTATTCTGTAACAACTACTTTGTATTTCTTAAACCCTTCGCTGTTTTCACCCATCCCCCCAACCACTGTCCCATCTGGCAGCCATCAAAATGTTCTCTGTGTCTGTGAGTTTGTTTCTGTTCTGCTTGTTTGTTTATTTTTTTATTCAATTGTTGATAAATAGTATTTATTGCCATTTTATGGTTCATATTTTTTATCTTTTTTTTTCCTTCTTCTTAAAGAGACCTTTTATCATTACATGTAATACTTGTTTGGTGGTGATGAACTCTCTTAGGTTTTTCTTGTCTGGGAAGCGCTTTATCTGTCCCTCGATTCTAAATGATAGCTTTGCTGGGCAGAGTAATGTTGGTTGTAGGGCCTTGCTTTTCATTACTCTGACTATCTCTTGCACACCCTTCTGGCCAGCACAGTGACTGTTGAGAAATCAGCCTACAGTCTATGAAAGCTCCCTTGTAGGTAACTAAGTGCTTTTCTCTTGCTGCTTTTAAGATTCCCTCTTTGCCTTTAACCTTTTGCATTTTAATTATGAATGTCTTGGTGTGGACTTCTTTGGGTTCATCTTGTTTGAGACTCTCTGCACTTCCTAGACTTGTATGTCTATTTCCTTCACCAGTTAGGGAAGTTTTCTGTCATTATATTTTTCAAATAGGTTTTCAATTTCTTGCTCTCTCTCTCTCTTCTTCTTCCAACCTCCCTATGATGAAAATATTGGTACGCTACATTGTCCCAGAGGCTCCTTACGCTACCTTTATTTTTTTGGATTCTTTTTTTTTTTGCTGCTCTAATTGGGTATGTTTTGCCTCCATATATACCCAGTCACTGATTTGATTCTTAGCTTCATCTCTATATTCTTTATGTGAGTATGAGCTAGCACAAAGCAACAGTGATTAATTAATTTATTGAAAAGGGGACAGACATGAAACAGTGGTTTCAGATTTGGGGAAGACCAACACAGTGAGATCTTCATGACTTAGAGCGCTTCATATCCCTAAGTCCTTCTGTTGGAATGAGCTGGGCTATTAATAAATAAGTAAAATTGAGATGCTTGGCAAATGGAAGCATCTAATTATTTTTCATCTTTAATAATTTGACTTTTCACCCTGGCCTGTTTGGCTCAGCGGTAGAGCGTCGGCCTGCGGTCCTGAGAGACCCGGGTTCGGTTCCCGCTAAGGGCACGTACCTTGGTTGCAGTTTGTCCCCAGCTCTGGTCAGTCGTGCGGGTGGCAGCCACTCGATGTGTCCCTTCACATCGATGTTTCTCTCTCTCTCTCTCTGTTCCTCTCTCTCCCTCCCACTCTACCTGAACAAAAAATGGAAAAATGTCCTCGGGTGAGGATAAAAAAAAAAAATAATAATAATTTGACTTTTCATTTGAATTGCATTTGAAAAATTTTCCTAAATATATAATTTTCTTTCTTTCCTTAAAAAGAAAAACCCTTGATTGACAAGCATTACCCTAACCATTGATTACTGATCATGACCCAGTTCTACAGTGAGTGAAATGTGAAGCATGGGCGCTGAGATTTTGATGACCTCGGCAGCACTGCCGCACCCAGCCAAGAGAGAGGAGAACCGGAATCCAGCGGGCACTCTGACGGCTGGGCCCATAAGCCGTGGGCCCCAGTGTGGAATGTATCTGCCCGAGAAAGGGGCACCTTTTCCTAGTTTGCCAGAGGTGCCTTGTGGGCTGACTATGGCCCTGCTCAACACAATGTTCAGGAAGAAGGTGGTGGTTTTTCCCAAAAAAATACTGCCTAGTGTCATTAAGCTTTCTTGTAAATGTGTCTTTCCTCTTAAATCCAGCAAAAACAAAAACAAACAAACAAACAAACAAAAATGCCCTGGCCAGTGTGGCTCAGTTGTTTGGGCATTGTCGTCTGCTTCAGCAGACTGCTGGTTCCATCCCTTTCAAAGGCACGGTGCCAGGGTTGTGGGCTCGATCCCCAGCAGGGGGCGTGCAGGAGGCAGCTGAAGGATATGCTCTCACACTGATGTTTCTCTCTCTTTAAAAATCAATAAACTAGCCCTGGCCAGTTTGGCTCAGCGGTTAGAGCGTCGGCCTGCGGTCCGGAGAGACCCGGGTTAGGTTCCCGCTAAGGGCACGTACTTCGGTTGCAGTTTGTCCCCGGCCCTGGTTGGTCGTGCGGGTGGCAGCCACTCGATGTGTCCCTTCACGTCGATGTTTCTCTCTCTCTCTCTTCCTTCCTCTCTCTCCCTCCCACTCTATCTGTACAAAAAAATAGAAAAATATCCTCGGGTGAGGATAAAAAAAGAAAAAAAGAAAAAGAAAAATCAACAAACTAGCCCGGCGGGGATGGCTCAGTGGTTGAGCATCGACCCATGCACCAAGAGGTCATTGGTTCGATTCCCAGTCAGGGCACATGCCCAGGTTGTGGGCCCAATCCCCAGTGGGGGGCATGCAGGAGGCAGCTGATTGATGTTCTCTCTCATCGATGTTTCTCTCTCTCTCTCTCTCTCTCTTTCTCCCTTCCTCTCTCTCTAAAATCAATAAAGAAAAAAAAATTTTTAAATAAAAATAAAAATAAAAATCAATAAACTATTCTTTAGAAAAAAGAAATCCAGCAGATAACTTTCAGCTGAGGGTTGTCTTTAACCAGAACCCCCCACTAGGTACAACAGGGTGTACTGGGAGAGGACCTGTTACCTCAGCTGCCTGGGTAGGTGTTGTCTTCTGTAATTTGGCCCAGTTGCCATTGAAAGACAGGTGAATTTAGGGTATGTTTTCCTTTTTGTCACCCAGAAGGTAGCCTGGTGTCTGTTCTGTATCTGGATCCCATTATTAATGTCTCCAGCCAAGATTTCTCTGTGTCTATAACAATAAAAAATTCAGAGACAGACGACTCCTGTGGCTCCTCTGAATAAAATGTTTGCTGTTTCTGAGTAATAGTTTCCTAAAGAGGAACTAAGCTTCTTACTTCCAAAGATACAAAATATTGTTTAAACAATTCAACGTTGAAACAAATAGGAAATATTTGATAGTCACAATATAGCTTTCAATAAGCGATATCCAAGTATTGGCACCCAGCAGTTGTCTTGATCCTGCCTGAGCCGGAGGCTTGGTTTATGATGGTACACAGCCGACGGTGCTGAGCAGACGGACAATAACTGGGTAGCAGTCTGTCAGCAGAAGGGTTCTCTTTAGAAACATTCAACTTTTGGGAATCAACACCCCCTCTCCTTCTCATTTCTTCTACGTGGCTCACATTCTTCCCCTCCCTTCAAGTTCTTTTCCCTAAGGAAACTTAAACCAAATCTCTCTCCTCTTTTTATAGATGCGAACCACACGCAAGGTCTCTGTCTGGCCAGTGGGCCTGGTTGGCGGGCGACGCTATGAACGTCCATTGGTGGAAAATGGCAAAGTCGTTGGTTGGTACACTGGCTGGAGAGCAGACAGGCCTTTTGCCATCGACATGGCAGGTGAGGAGTGTGGATGGTGACATTTATGTCTGCCTGATTGTTCTTACAGATGTTACCATTGTAACAGGGCACTAAAGGAAGGAAGCTTTAAAAGACCACTTTGGTGAAAACTCTGGATCATAGCATATTCAGCAGATGAACTGTTTAAACCTTTGAAACGGGGCTGTTTGATTAGGGAAATGTATTTTGGGGTTGATTAGGAAATGCTCATTCCATTCCATTCTGCCACCAATCTATGCAGCCACCCTTCTTACTCAACACATGTTTATGGCCAGGTGCTGGGTTGGTCACTGGGGAGTCAGTGGTAACTGGAACTGGCCTCTACCTTTAGGTACCTCTCTCTAGAGGTCTAATTTGTTACAATAAATCACACACTAATTGATAAGTTTAATAGTCATGTGAAATTGACAAGCTAATCAATTTAATGCTTCTTGATACATTTAGTGCTTCTTGATACGTTTAGTGCTTCTTGATACATTTAGCTGAAATATAAAATTGGATTACTGGTTTTTCAAGCATTTATTAATTTTGAGTATAACTGCATTTTAAAGTTTTTATTCTCTAGCCAAACAATTGAATTCAATAAGACCCGTAGCAGACCACACATTCTAAGATGCTACTTTATCATAAAGTGACTCATTTTCTGTGGGTTGTATAAAATGATGCCTGTGATAACTGTGGAAAGATGCAGTTTGAAACATGCGGCTTAGAGGCACATGAAAAAATCCCTGGCATCTACAACCTAGAAGATGAAGGCAGAAAAGCTTCAAAATTGATCTCATCAATCTTCGACTCTGAAACACTGCTCTGTCTGTCTGTCAGCCTGTGCGCGGCCAATCTTGTGTGTGTGTTTCCCTACTGCAGTCAGAAGCTCTCTGCTCAGAATTCTGATGGGATGGAGGCTGTGTTCTAAACGGGTTCATCACTCTTATTCTGACAGTACTATAAATTTGAGGAAGCACGATGGTGAAGAACACCGGAGCATGAGCTGGTGTGGATGCTCTTGTGGGGGCAGCCTGTCGCACTGCGTCAGGGGAGAGAGAAGACACACTAGGCTGTTTTTGCTCAGTGTTTAACATTTCCCGAAGGCCAGTTTTGTGGGACTGTGTGTCATTGTCTTTAACGCCAAGGACAGTCTAGATCTCTTACCCTCCCCAGGCCTCCTGCTCTGCTTCCTGACCTCTCCATCTCTCTCCTCACCCTGGCTTTATGCTTCGGTCTCCAGTTCTTGCAGCCCCCTGAGCTGGCATCTCAACCCATGCCAATACCTGAAGGCAGACAGGGAGGTAGGTCAGCCATACTTGGGAGGTCCTGGGGATTCTCGGAAGAGGCCTTTCCTCAGTCAAGTCTGAGTTTGTGGCTCTGAAAATATAAGGCTGACCATAATGTGTCTTGGAGAGTCAGGTTTCTTGCTGGTTGGACATGTCACCTTGAACAGAAAACGTGGAGTTCATTAGCAAAGTCTGTTGCTTCTCTGGGACTCATCTTGCTCATGCGTAGAATGAAGCAGAGGTGGGGATGGCCACTGGGGTCTTCTCTAATGCATTCTTTCTCATCCTGGCTCCCCACCTTGGGTCCTTGGATTCTAAGTGAGCATTTGTGACTGCTACCACAGCCAGCAGACAGCTGTGTGGTTCTTACCTTCCCCAGAGCCTTGCTCCATCACAGACTTCCCAGGCCCGGCTCCTTACAGGATCTCAGCCCGCTACCCTGCCAGGTAACTTCAAGGTCAGGCCAACTCAGATGGTCTTCTTAGATTTTGCTGTTTGAACTTACTGTAGACAATTAAGTATCCAAGAAACCCGTGGAGAATTTTGCACTGATTCCCCCCAGAATTTGGATCCAGATAGCTCTGTCTAAAATTCAGGAATGGCACGTGGGTTTTGCGCATCTGGCCTGGCCCATGACACATTGATTCTCTTTCACCACCAGATTCTCTGGGAAACATTTCTCCACGACATGACTCATGCTTGGATTTTTCTAAACATTTCAATATATTTTCAAAGCATAATATATTATAAAATACAAATGGATTTGCTTATTTTGTATTAATCTTTGTTTTAAAGTAGGAATAAATAAGAAAACAACTTTTAACACACTAAATTTTCTTCACATGCGAACTTGTTTTTTGCAAAATACTTTTCAGTACATTGTTGATATTTTTGGAAGCCTTAAAGTAAGAGTGATCTGGTTGAGCCCTGGCCTGTTTGGCTCAGCAGTTAGAGCATCGGCCTGCGGTCCAGAGAGACCCGGTTCGGTTCCCGCTAAGGGCGCGTACCTTGGTTGCAGTTTGTCCCCAGCCCTGGTTGGTCATGTGGGTGGCAGCCACTCGATGTGTCCCTTTCACATCGATGTTTCTCTCTCTCTCTCTCCCTCCCACTCTACCTGAACAAAAGAAGGGAAAAAAAATGTCCTCGGGTGAGGATTAAAAAAAAAAAAAGAGTGATCTGGTTGATAGGATAATGAGTGATTCTGATTTTGAGGCAGTTTGTTTTGATTCCAAATCTTGAAAGTTCACAGCTTTGTTTAGATTCTACATAAGATTCATTTATTTTTTGTGAGAAGGACAAGACCTTTTGGACCTTCATGTGCAAAGGGTACCCCCACCTCATTTTCAGGTTATGCACAAACACACCCACCCACGAGGTCTGGAAAGAGAATGAGGCAGGAGGGACACTCCCCTCTGTGCCCGGGACAGACTGAGAAGCACTGGTTTGAAAGGGTCTGAGACAGTTGAGGGAACTGGGGTCTCTTTTGGATTTTCACCAGCTGATTAAGAGACAGGAAACTAGGAAACCGCCTGGTTGGTGTGACTCAGTGGTTGAGCATTGACCCACGCACCAAGAAGTCGCTGGTTCGATTCCCGGTCAGGGCACATGCCCAGGTTGTGGGCCAAATCCCCAGTGGGGGGCATGCAGGAGGCGGGCAATCGATGTTCTCTCTCATCGACGTTTCTATCTCTCTCCCTCTCCCTCCCTCCCTCTCTAAAATCAATAAAGAAAAAAAAAAAGAAACAGAAAATGCAAAGCGCCAAAACACTCACATTTGCTTTGGGGTATGGAGCACGTTCAGTAAGAGGTCCTCAGGGTCTCTGTTGGTGTCTCTAAAGTCACAGCCCAGCCCATCACTAGCAGCTTATTTGAGTGTGAGACACATGACTGTCATGTTTCACGATAGTCATCAAGTTTGCCTGTATCTGTGTTTGGCCGCATTGGACTTGGCAGATGCTATTTTTGCTCTCAGGTGAGGAAACATTGTTCTGAAAGTATCTTCTATGCACAGTGTTAGTGGCAGAAGTCAAGATTATTTCTGTTGCCCTGGGGACATTTTTAAAAAACTTTCTGATGATTACTGGAAATTAAAGAATCAAGAGAGCTGTCCAGCCCTGGCTGGTTTGGCTCAGCGGTGGGAGTGCCGGCCTGCGGACCAGGGAGTCCCGGGTTCGGTTCCCGCCAAGGGCACGTACCAGAAAAAAGATAACCGTGCAAAGCATCAGAGGCAGCCCTGTCCTGGCAGCAGTGAGCAGCTGGCTTTGCCGGTGTCGCTGGCCACTGCTCTGCCTCGCGCCTCGATTCCTGCACCTGGGGCATCTGACCGCGAGCTCGTCCTTGTTGACTGGACGCACCTGGGGCATCTGACCGCGAGCTCGTCCTTGTTGACTGGACGCACCTGGGGCGTCTGACCGCGAGCTCGTCCTTGTTGACTGGACGCACCTGGGGCGTCTGACCGCGAGCTCGTCCTTGTTGACTGGACGCACCTGGGGCATCTGACCGCGAGCTCGTCCTTGCTGACTGGACGCAGGACTGGACGCAGGACTGGACGCAGGACTGGATGCAGGACTGGATGCAGGACTGGACGCAGGACTGGACGCAGGACTGGACGCAGGACCGTCCGCACAGTTTTCAGCTCTGTTTTGAGGTCAGGGAGTTACTTTGAAGTGACAGACTCACTTTGGCCACTTCTAGGAAGGTGTCAATTAGGAGTGTGGCTTGAAAGAACTGAGCTTAAAGTAATCTTCAGCCTCACCAGGAGGTGTAGATTTGTTCAAATTCAGAACCTAAAGCTGAGATATTTTGAATTTTCGACATGCTCATGCACCGCAACCTTCACTCTGGGAGGGGCGGGCGGCCGTGCCCCTCGACGGCAGTTCCCAGCTGGGTGCGGGGCACACGGGAGGGACCGGGAGGAATCCACAGGGCGCCTGCACTTCTGCTCAGGCGCTAACACCCAGAGTTAGAGGGTCCCCAGCAAGACTGCCCCTACTTCAGACACCTGCCGCACTGTGGGACCCCAGGCCACCTGTACTCTGACAGCTGTTAATTTGACGTTTCCCACGACGCTCTCGGGTTTGATAATATACTACAAGGACTCACAGAACCCAGGATAGTGCTCTACTCACGACATTTCTCATAATAAAGACACGAATGAGGACCAGCCATCTGAAAGACACATGGGGTAAGGTCTGGGAGAGAACCCCGGCTTCTGTGCCCTTCGCCGTGGAATCAGGATGTGCTCCCCTCCCTGCACAGGAGTGAGTTCAGCCCCCGGAAGTTCCGCTGAACTCCGGTGTCCAGAGGTTTTGTTGGGTTTCACTGCCTAGACACGTTTGATGAACTTGATGGCCCGAGGCTGAACTCAGTCTCCAGCTTCTGTCCCCAGAGGTCAGGAAGGCCCACAGTTCCTACCCTAAAATCTTGTGGCTGGTGCTCTGGTCACCAGCCCCCATCCTGAAACCACCACTAAGAGCCACCTCATTAGCATAATAAAGTCACTCAGGAAATGCTAAGGGTGTCACTGGCTCCTGGTCAAGGACCTGGCACAAAGATGAGGCACATTTTTATTAAACTACAGCTAAGTAACAGATAACTTTACTCTTATAGAAACAAGTATTTCACCCTGGCCAGTTTGGCTCAGCGGTTAGAGCGTCGGCCTCCGGACCAGAGAGACCCGGGTTTGGTTCCCACTAAGGACACGTACCTCAGTTGCAGTTTGTCCCTGGC